TATGTCATCACCAGATTGAGACAGGTAATAAAAGCAGCCCTTTTTGGATTTTGCATGGCGCCATTTTTCGCCTGTGCCATGGCATGAATACCTCTGGCGAATTCGTTGACCCTTCGACAGGTGCGCGTGTTCCGAAACCGGACATCGAGAAAAATGCCGAATCTGCGGTTTATCAACATGATCGCCCACTTGCAACGATGCTTGACTTTCTTGATCACTCGATCTGTGAGATCGACGGAGACGATGATCTTGCCGTTTCCGGCGTTGACGTCTGCGATGTGAATCTTGGTGCTGACACCCACGACGTACGACGTCTCATGTTAGCTGAATGCCGTGTAGCGGTTTTTCATATTTCGTCATATGCATGGAGTGGTGCTTATCAAGAGACGTGCCAGAAATGGCTTCAATTTGTCGCAAGCTGTGTTGAGCACCAGTGTGACTTTGTGTCAGGAGATGGCAACCTTTTCGCACAGCGAAGTTTCAAGTCTGATGACCATTCCGATTACCGGACATGCATCATGATCGACATCCTTGAACGCTTTCTCCAGCAAATCAACCTTCACCGCAGTCCGATCAACCGTATTACGTATAACGTAGTTTCATCGACCACTGCCGCTGATTACATCCGAAGCATGCATGGAGAAGATGCTGATTGTGATTCAATGCTTTTAATTTCTCTTTGTTACGGTAAGCAGATCGCTGTCACGGAAGCACGTGCCAAAGAAGATTCCGCTTCTGCGGATGGATTCGCAGGATCAGCTTTTTCCGACGAAGTTATGTTGAATGATGTTGAACAGTTAAAGCATTTATTGTCATATGATCTTGGTTTGGCTGAGAAAGACTGTGCATGGCACTCACCTCTCCTTACCTATGCCCAATTGAAATCTTTGAAAAATATGCGCATCCGATCCAAGGAATCAGAAGATAAAAGACGTGATAAATGGATGCATCGAACACAAGGATATCTCGAAAAACGAGAAGAAAGAAAAGACAGTGTTCCGCCTTTGCGGACTGACTCATTCCGGAATGTGGGCCAGACTAGATCTCGATCAGTAAGCAGCACTAGGCCCGCAGCTGCACCTAAGCAAGTCCGATATAAAGCAGCACCGGTGTCACTCAAACAATCATCATCAGCACCGAAATCTTCGGGATCTTCTTCGAGTGCACGGCCGCCTGTGAAGGCACCGCCGGTACCACCGCCTGGACGGTCAACCGGCACAGCACGTCAGCCAAGCACACCGCCAGATCCGCCGGGTCCTCCAAAGACTCCTCCGCCGTGGAGAGAGAGAACGCAGCAGGAAGGGCAGAGGCACACCACTAGAAAAAGGCCAATCAATGTGCCAGAGCCTCCTGCACCTCCATCCCGTATGACGGGTACGCAATGGCTTGATCAAGGAACAGCTTCCAGCAGTTCTGGATACCGTAATTACGGTTACTATGATCAACCGGCATATTACAGAGTGAATCCTCGAACCTATAATGTCGAATACGTCCCAGGTTACCAGGTACCTAGACAGCGTTGGATTCAAAAATACGACGGATCATGGCCTGACCTTATTCCGCAAACACCGGATGAGTCCATATTCTTTCATCAGTCCGGTGAGCTCAGAAGGAGGAACGAACTGGATTTCTATGGTTACTATTTCACTATGGGCTTGTAGCCCCATAAACTCTCTCTTCTCTCTCTTCTCTCTCT